GCCACAAAGGAAAAAAGCCGAAACAAAACCCCGCACCGCACACCCAAGAAAGAAAAAGAGAAAACAGGAAACAAAGACAAAAGCACCATGAAGAACGCACAGCCGACAAAACAGAAGGGCAACGACGCGAAGAAAACACACAGAGCAACCACCACAGAGACCCCACAGGCACAACAAGCGGAAAAAACAAAAAAGAACCCAACACCAAACGGGACAAAGGACAAGAAGAGAGCCGAAAAAAAAAAAAAGAAGGAACCAGAGGACAAACCGGGAACAACAAGGAACAAAGAAGAGCCTGAACCCAAAAAAAAACACAACACCACCCAACACCCACCCCCCCCAACAAAAGCGAGAAGAACAACCCACAAAAAGGCACACAACCAGCAAACCACCAAAACATAAACAGAAAAGAAGAACCAAAGGAAACCAGACAAGAAAGAAAGAAGCCGCCCACAACGGCCCCCGCACACAATCACAAACCCGGGGAACAAGCAGCAAACACGGCCAAAAAAAGACCAAAACCCAAACCAAAAACCAACACGGCACAAAAACCGGAGGAACGACACGAGTAACAAAAAAGGGGGAAAAAGGCACGCCAGCAAGAACAGGCAAAGACGAGCGCAAGACCCACCGGAAACACCAAAAGAGACCCAGCAAAAAACAGAACAAGAAAAGCAGACAACACAAAAGAAGCCAGAGACAGAACACCGAAAAAAAGGAGCGAAAAACAAAAGCCAGAAAAGGAGAGAAGCAGTGCAAAGGAGCAAACAGAAAAAGAACACAGACACGAGAAGAAACAAACGAAACAACAACACAAGGCGCAACCGCCCCAGTAACCGCCAAGTGCAACAGACACAGCACACGTGCAAAACCAACGCAAACACCATCACAAAAAACCAACACACTCAGCAAGCAACCAGCGAGCAACGATCAACACAAAGCACAGACCACCAAAGAAAGAGAAGGAGGACAAGAGAGACAAGACACCACAAAACGAGAGAAAGCACACGCAAAAGAGAGACCGGAAAGAAGAAGAAGGAAATAAACACGAAGAGAGAGCGAGAGAGGAACAGAGAGGCAATCGAGGAAATGGAGAGAGAGACGAAGAGCGAGAGAAGAGGACGAAGTAGAGATGAGAAAGAAACACAAACGGACAGAAGAGAAACCGCACAAAGAGAGATTAGAAAGAGAACCTCACGAAGACACGAGATGGAGAGCAAGAGAGGAGCGACACAGCGAAAGAGAGGGACAACAGAACACGCAAGAAAACACGAGGGGACGCCACGAAAGAAGACGGAGAGAGAGAGAAGACACCATGGGAAGATGGGAGGGACAGATAAAAAAGGAAACAAGGGAGAGGGAGCAGGGAGAGGGAGAGGGAGGAGAGGGAGAGGAAAGAAGTCAGCAGGGAGGACGAGGAGAAGGACACGAGAGGGAAACAGGACCGAGGACAAGACAGGGAAATGAAACGCGACAGAAGAGGAACACGAAGCGAGAAGCACAAAACGAGCGCAGCACGGAACGAGTAGGCGGCACCGGCACGCGAGAGGCAATCTGCGAGAGAAGGAGAGGCCAAGAGTTTCTCACCATTTACGCTCTTTAGAACAACAATTTATTGAGTAGCACCACCAGCCCAATGGAAAAGAGAAACAAGAAGACAAGCCCCGAAGAGGAGGGCCACCAAAAGGGAAACGACCCGGTAAAGACGCGGAGAGAAGTGAAAGGGGAAAGAGGGACGAGAGGGGAACACCAGACGAAAGAGAACTCAGTACGAAGCGACGAGGGACCAGCACGAAGCAACGCAGCAAAGGGAGCACGCAGACAGAGACAAAAGAGATACGCAGGGGCAGGAGACAAAGAAAAGAGGAAGCGCGTAGGGAGACACAAAAAAGAGGGGAAGCGAGGAGGAAGAGCAAGAGAGGACGAGAAGAGCGCAGGACACTGTAGAAGAAGCGTGGCAAGGTACATGAGTGCGCGAAAACAGATATTTCAATTAATATATACTTATGAAGATTAAGGTGTGGGTTGGCATAAGTTGTGCAGGCTCAAACAAAAGCTGTAAGTCGATCAGTAGCCCATGCTAACTAGCCTGCCACTGTCAGTTTATCTGTGAAATTTGTTGCAAACAACAAGATGGCTCCTACACGTGCAGAAGCACCAAAGGAGCGTCAAATATCTGAACAATTCTCTACAGCAAGAACCACACTCTGAGTTGCCACCTATTTTATCTCGAATATTTGCTCATTTATTCTTCTTCTCTAATGCTCATTCAAATATACAAATTACTGTTATTGTTACTGTTGATATTATATCTTATCGATACCATTTTGCAGTGCCTAGAATTAATACGCACCTTTTTTAATTTCTATTGTATTATGTCATGCCTATTAAACTACTACAATAGTTGACATTATGATATCCTTAATAAAGTGTCATGTATAATAGAATGTAAAAAATAAACATCTTATATAAAATCATTCACAGAAAAAATCAGAGCAATGAGAACAAGATAGACTAATATGTTGTCTTATCGATATGACATTTGTACATCTATAGATGAGTCGTATATAAGAAATGGCCGATGCATAAGTTTATGAGTGTATACATATGCAAAAAGCAAGTTTCAACTAAGGAAACTCATGATGTATTTATACTTACAGATCCCGAGAAGAATTCCAGATCTCTTTCTAGTCAATATATGATGTCATCATTGCCCCCATGTTCCGGTTGTGTCTTGCAGCAACAAGACCCCATTACGAACATCCACACGCGGCACACATTGGCACGTCTCGCTGCTTAGCTTAGGATCATGGCACGCAACATAATGATTTAGTTCTAGAGGGTCTCTTCTCTATTTTCCAGTGATACCCTGGTTTATACATAGTTACTAAATGGCTTCCGAGGTGCACATCACCGCAGACAAACACTGGTTTTCATCGACCAAGTAAGTTCCTTCCATCTCATGCTGGAGATATAATAAAAAAAGGAGAGATAAATATTTTTTACGTCAAGATTAATATATTTTTTCTATGAATTTTATGTCACTCGCCATTCTGTCAGCTTTTCTATTACACAATGGTAGTACATCATCCTTTCCAATTGGGCCTGCTCATATTACCATTTTATACAGATATCAAAATTATAAACATATAAATATAACGGCATTTCATTACAATAATCTCAAGCCAAGAAGATAATACAGGGATCGAGCAATGTTTCAGGATCTACAAAAATTCTAAAGCATCCTCATTGTCATAACTGTCATCATAACTATTTCATAATTGTTATTGTAATTGTAATCATAATCACAATCATAATCATAAGAGTAGGCTAACAACAATTGTAACCATAATCGTGACCATAAATGTGTAATTGGATGATTGTTAACTGTGTAGGCTAATCATAATCATAATCATATCTGTAACCATAATCATAATCACAACTGTAATAGTAATCAATCAATTGTATTCACAATTGCAATCATAACTGTAAAAACAGTATAAAACAATAGTTTTATGTAATAATGATACTAATAACAACAAAACTAATAATAATAACAATAACAATAACAATAATAATAACAATAACAAAATAGTTTAATATTAATAACAGTAATAATAATAATAATAATAATAATAATCAATAAATAAGAATCACCAATAATATAGAGGGTTAATTAGATAAGGATAATAATTTGCCATAATTAATAAATAATAATATATGAATCTGTGCTATAAATCAGTAATAGTAATAGATCTTAATTTTATGTAGAGGAAGTAAATAGTTAATTACGTAAGTAGTAAATAGTAATAGTAATCAGTAAGTAGTAATTAGGTAATTGTAATAGTACTAGTAATAGTAATAGGTAATAGTAAATAAGTAATGACATTGTTGATCTGAGTAATCCGTTTTTAGTAAAGTCAGTCAACTAGTAAATCAGTAATTACGTCAAATAGTACATAGTGGAGATCAGTGGTTGGAAATAGTAATAGAGTAATAGTAAAGTAAATAGTAACTAGTAATTTGTAATGTTAGAATAATAGTTACAATCTTATATTAGATCGGACAAATAATTACAACAATAACTATATGAAATAATAAACGCTATAACAATAAAGAACAATGAGATAATAACAATGATAATAAGAACAACAACTGACAATTATAGACTCAAGTCATTGCTGATCAAATACCCCCACAATCCCCTAGATATATCATGACAGCGATCAATATCATAGTATATACAATAATCCATATATCAACTACTTAGTTATAACACGTTGTTACGACCTCTACACTATTATCATCCTAAATTTATTCTCTACTTAAATAATAAACAAATAAAATTTAACAATAATAATAACTAATATAATACATGAATGAGATAAGATAATAATAATATATCATAATAATAATAATAATCAATCACATCCAATACTATTTGGACATAAATATTAAGAATCCTTATTATTTTATTTATATGATAGGAATATATCAGGAATAAACCAATAACAACTATACAATAACAACAATAAACAATAAGCCATAATATATTATATCATCCCCATCATTGATTTTGGCATATAGCCATATATTAAATAAATATTAATAATCAAAAAAAAAAAAAAAAAAAAAAAAAAAAAAAATGAATATAATAATAATAATACATTATTATTTGAGAGTGAGGTTATTTTATCATACTATACAATAATATATAATATAATTAGAGAGAATCAATATTAAGTTGAAGAATCAATAATACTCAATATTATGATCAATTAATCATAACATTAATCACTAATATCAACTAGTCATTGTTAATGCATGTCCAGCTGTCACTTGGGCATCACCTCAGAATATCTGATTAGTTATCTGTGATATGAGACTACGTGAATATGTAGTTATTACTGAGATATGAAGATTATGAATTAATGTTTTGGGGAATTATGTTAGGATATTTTTGGTTCTGGTGATTCTGAGATACGATCTGTGAGAAACGTGATATTCTGAGATATCAATGTGATTATAGGCGATATGAGATACATGATATGAGATATATGATATGAGTTGATATCAGGATATGGATAAGAAGATAGTGATAATTGAATACCAGTCAGATATTGAGTATATTTGTTACGTGTCTATGAGATACGGGTGGATATGACGTTATTCGTGATTCTGAGACTCATGAGATATCGCTGATATGAGAGATACCGTGTTGGAAATTTGCAGATACTTGTCGAATTATGATTCTTTTTATTACTGAGTATTATGAAGATATGATTAATTGATATATGGCATCAATATACTGATGATTCCTTTCCTTCGATGATGAATGAAGTAGAGGTATCCATAACAGATTGAGATAAATATTTATATAATATAAATTTAGAGGATGTTAATAAAATCAATAAGCAATAACAATCATGGGATTTATATGCAATTATATTTATAATATAATATAAAAAAATATAGGTAAAAAATATCCGTATGAATAGTAATAATAATATACATAATATCATAATTAATAATATAAATAATAATAACTACAGATGAAAAATAAACTTATAAACCAATAACAATAACAAAAATAATAATCATAAATGAATATAATATACTTTATTTATTATATGATTATTAATATTATCAATTAATTTATTATGATAATAAAAATATAGGCAATGATAATTTTTGAGAAGCAAACGGAAGAAATTATTATTTGTAATGAATAACAATGAATGGTATAATGTAATCATAGGTTATATGGTTAAATGAAACAATGACATGACAATGAACAATGAAAATGATACATGTATGAACCTACATGATAACAAATAACGATTTGGGAGTATAAGGAAATCAGGTTATTAATGGAATATCACGAAAAATGATAATGATAACAATAACAATAATAATTAACAATAATAATAAATATTATTATTATCATTATCATTAATCTCATCCGTATCCATTATTACTATCTCATCATTATCATTATAATCATTATACATCTTATCCTTATCATCTATCATCTATCAGTGTACATCCTATTCAATATTTACTAGGTGTATATTATTTTAGTATTGATTCTTCTCTTTTAATATTTAGTTATTGATTATTTATCATTATTCATTATTTAACTCCAGGTATATCTATTCTCATCATCTCAATCATCATTTCGTTCTATCATTCATCAATCATCATCATCATTCATTGCTATCTTCAATCAAATATTCATCAATCATCATCATCATTATCATTATTATTATCATTATTATTATCATTATTATTATTCATTGTTTTATTAATTCATTTTTATTCATCAATCTATGTTATTGTATTATGATGCATCGATGAAAATGATGAATGATGATGCATGATTGATGAACTGATGAATGATGATGACTGGAAATGATTGATATTATGCATATTTATGATATTAATGATATCTAGTGATCATTACATGATATTATGATAGTTAATGTATATTATGATAATATTGGATATCTCATGTTAATATGATATTATGATATTATGAATAATGATGAAAATAAAAAATAAAATGAAAAATGAAATGAAGCAATAGTAGTATTAGCAATTAGTATTAGTATTATTGTTCATTGTTTATATGGGTTATTAACATCTTGGCATCAAATCATAAATAATAATGGAATTTTAGAATAATATGTGAACAACTTTATATAAATAATGATAATAATAAAAATTATTGGAATATAATAGAATTTAATATTTACGATTACTTATTAGATAGTAATTGGAATCTTAATAATAATATCATTAATTTGCCAATCATATAATACATTATTAATAATAATATATAATCATATACAATAATACTACTAATAATAATAAATCAATAAAATAATTTGGATCATATATATATGTACCTAATTAGGATTTATGACATATCAAATAATTGACAAATATAATATATGACAATAATATAATAATATCATAAACAATAATATAGGAGAAAATATATTAACACATAATTTAAAAAAATAATAATCATAATATGACCTATTCACTTACTTACTTATTCTAAAATAACGACCTTATTAATAATATAATGAGGTAAATAATGAATAGTAGTAGATGAATAGTAGTATTTAGATTATTGATTACTAATTTAATGAATAATATAACCTAATAAATAAATAATAATATAATTAAGTGAATAATTTGAATAATTAATATATGGAATAATAATAGGTGAATAACAACAATACTAATAATGAATAATACATAACTAATAATAATAATTTTGTCTATCCATATCAATAATAATAATAATAATTCAAATAGATGAATAAAACTCACTGATTTTATAACATAATAAACAAATAACTGTAACAATAATAACAACAACAAGACAACCATAAGAGATTCAGATAACACAATTAACAAACAATAATGAATATACATATATTTACATAAACAAAAACGATGACGATGAAACTCGATGACGGATGACGATGACCGATTTGACGTATGGGACGATGACTTTCGGTATGACGATGACGATGAAATGTTGACGATGATGAATATCATTATTTAATAATAATAAATGATGGAATACCATTGATATATGTATTGCTATAGTCCGATATCATTCATGATGACATGTAATAATGAATAATTTGATTAACTTGAAATGATAATGAATAGATTGATAATGATATGGAGATTGATAATGTATTTACGGGGATTGTGATTAATTGTATCAATAATAATAATAAATTCAATAAATATATATATGATGAATGATAATAATCAAATAAACAAAAACCAAAAAATAACAATAACAATAACAATGATTAAGATGAAGACAAGTAAAAAGGAAGAAGAAAGAAACAACAACAGCAAGAGCAAGAGGAAGTGTAAAGCTGCAGTAGATGTAGTAGATAGAGGGGTGAAGGGGAAAGTGAGAACGAAGCAAGGAGAGAAATGAACGGAGGGAGGGAGGGAGGAAGGTTTTAGGATGGATTGTGAGGCCATAGGAGGTAGGAAGGTTGTGACGGGACGGAGAGAGGTGGGGGTTGAGTAAGTGGAAAAGGAGGAGGAAGGAGGGAGGGTTAGCCTGGGGAGTGTTAAGGTAGGAGAAGGAGGTAATGAAAGGAGGGAGAAGGAGAAGAAGGAGGAAGGAAGAAAGGTATGGCGCCTTACCCCGAATAAGTGTATGCAAGGAATGGAGAAGGTTGCAAGGGAGAGGGGTGAGGACAATGGAGAAAAGGAGAGATGAGGCGTAAGGAGGAGGAGAACAGAAGGAGAGGGATCTGAGGGATTAAGGAGAAGAATGATTAAAGAAGGAAGAAAGAGGACTGGAGGAGGAGGGGAGGAGTTCGAGGAGTGAGGGAGGGAGGAGGAGAAGGAGCGAGTAGGATATAAGGTATGGAGGCAGGCAAGGAAGGGAAGAATAGCAGAAGGAAGGAAGATAGGAGAAAGGGAGAACGAAGGAGAAGAAAGGAGGCTAGAAGGAGAATAGGAGGAAGGAGTGGGTGAGTGAGGAAGAGGAATACGAAGGAGGAGGAAAGGGGAGAAGGTAGGAATGGAGAAGGAGAAGAAGGAGAAGAAGGAAGGAGAAGGAGAAGGAGTGTTAAGAGGTGGGAGAGGAGGAAGAGGTAGAAAGTAGGAAGGAGGAGGGGAGAAAGCTGAGGAGGAAGGGGAGAAGGAATGTGAGGAGGGGAGAAGGAGGAGGGGAAATGGTGAGTGAGGAGAGGAATGGGTAGGAGGAGTGAGGAAGGAGGAGTGGGGTAGGAGCATGAGGAGAAGTGATTGAGGAGGAGGGACAAGACAGGAGGAGGAAGGAGGAGAGAGGAGGGAGGTAGTGATGTGGGTTGAGGAGGAGGGCGGAGGAAGGAGGAGGAGTGAGAAAGGGGAGGAGGAGGAGGATGTGCGGAGGAGGCAGGAGGAGGAAGGGGGCAGGGGGATGGGGAGGAGGAGAGGAGAAAAGCAGAAAAGGAGGAGGCAGGAGGATGGAGGTAGGAGGAGGAGGGAGGAGGAGGGAGGTAGGAGGAGGAGGATGAGAGAGGAAGAGGAAGGAGAGGAGGAGGGGATGGTAGGGAGGAGGAGGAAGGAGGAGAGGTAGGAGGAAGGAGGAGGAGGGAGGAGGAGGAGGAGCGGAAGGAGGGAGGAGGCGGAGGGGAGGAAGAGGGGGGGAGGAAGGAGGAAAAGGAATGGAAGTGTAGTATCGGGGTGAGGAGGATGGCAGGGGGGGAGGGAAAGGTGGGTGGGAATTTAAGGAGGTGGGGCATTGGACGCGCGGGGTGGTGGGAGGAGGCTATTGGGGTGTCTGTGTTGGTGTAGTGTGCTTCTGTGTGTTGGCTGGTGTGGTAGGAGGGGATGTGTAGGAATTGGGTGGGGTGCTTAGGAAGGAGGGGAGTGAGGTCGGGAGGTAGGAGGGGAAATGGATATGGGGGGTAAGGATTGGAGGAGGAGGTGAGGGTGATGGATGAAGGATGATTCAGGGAGATAGGAGAAGGGGTGGGAAGAAGGACCTTATGTAAAGGAGTAAGTGTAGAAGGAGATTAGGGAGTAAGGAGAAGGATGAAGGAGTAAAGGAGATAGGATGGCATAGGAGAAGGAGAAGGATTAGAGTGGTTAAGGAGAAATAGGGGAGATTAAGGTACGAGAGGAGATTCAGGTCTTCAGAGAGAATAAGGAGAAGAGACCAGGAGGAAGGAGATGACCTTAGAGAGAAGTGTTCTAACAAGAATGGCAAAGATGGCCAATTTAGGAGAAGGAGGAAGGCCCAGTGGAGACCAGACAGAGCTTAAGCCAAGAACGAGTAGGACAGTTAAGTGAAGAGAAGGAAGGAAGATTGACGCTATAGACGTAAAGAATACAATGGCAAGTTGGCAGAGTATAGGAGAGAAGAAAAAGGAGAACGCAGGAGACTAGAATAGGAAGCGGACAGATAGGGAGAAATTAAGGAGTAAAGGAGGAGAAAGAGAAAAAGGAAGAAGAGGAAAGAGGAGAAGAAGGAGGAAGGACCAAGGGAGATAGGTCACCGGCTCTAGCCTGAAGGAGGGCAGAGTGGAATGTGAGGAGAAAAGGGTAGGGCAGAAAGGTGGACAGAAAATGGAGGAGACAGGTGAGGCATTTAGATTAGTTATAGCGAGGAGAAGGAGGAAGGAAGGTAACAGGCGAGAAGGAGAGAGAAAGGGCAGTGGGAGAGACAAGATGTGTAGAAGGAGGAGAGGAGGAGAACAGGGGAGGGAGTTATAGAGGTAGGAGAAGGAACGCTGACTAAGACGATGGGAACGAACTATTATAGGATAGGGGGGCATAAGAGACGGTTAACGCGAGAAGGAGTAAAGTAAGGAGAGAAGGACGGTGTCAAGAAGTGCAGGTCCTAGTCAACACGGAGTGAGAACAGGAGGAAAGTGAGGAGTATTAGGGAGAAGAAAGGAGAATGAAAGGTAGAAGAAGGAGAAGATTCAGGAGATTAGGAGGATGAGGAGCGACGGAGAAGGAGGAGTAACGGAGGAGAATGGAATGCCGAGATATGGAGGAGAAGGAGGAGAAGGAGGAGAAAGGAAGGAACGCAACGGGAGAGAAGAAGGAGAAAGAGGAAAGGAGGAGAAGGAGGAAAAGATGGATGAACAGGTTGAGGCAGAAAGAGGAAAAAGGCAGGAGAACTGGGAAGTTGAGAATAGAGTAACGAGGAAGGAGGAGAGTGATTGGAAGACTCAAGGTATATAAAGACTATGACGGTTCCACTAAGTATCAGTAAATGTGGAGCCGACACGCACTAGAAGGTGAGAGAAGGTATGCACCCAGGCCCACTGGGAGGACTAGGACGCATTATAAAGGGAGAGGGAACATAAGGAGAATAGAAGTAGAAAATAGATGGTGCCCTTCTTCAAAAGACCATTTGTCAAGTAAGGATGCTTTGAACCCAATCAGAACAACTTTGCAGGGTGAGCGAAGACCTCTTCACCCTTACGGAAGACTTAGTGGACACTATGCTTTACACACATAACTCTATCCGGGCACTGGTGCTCACCTGTATCCCTTACCCATTATCGCTTAACTGCCTAACCCTGGTGCACTACCCCACCAAAAAGAAAAAAAAAAAAAAGGGGGTGGGTGGACCTCCCTTCATTATTCACGTGCCAAAATCAATTTATTGCAGCTAAAAATCCTACTGGAAACATATTATATACCTGGAGGTTTGTGGCATTAAAACCAGCACACAATGGTGTTCTTACTCCTAGACTAATTAAGCCTTCCCACTTTTCGGGTAATATTTCAGTTTTAATTTGCTTTTCAAGTGGATGCTTGGATCAAACAACTATAACATGAACTCCAGAGGAAAGAGCTTCCTGTTTTGAAAAAGGTCCTTTCCTAAACAATGTCTTGCTTAATCTGATACAGTGAGAGTTTGTAGACGGTTTTGAGAAGTCATTAAAGAGGGGGCTACGACGGTTCCTCAGATGACCACGACTGCGCGTCGCACGATTAAGTGGGTGATTAATATTCTTGAACCCATCCCCGCCATCCTTTCTTGTATTGAGCCTGGTCAGCGGAACTAAGAAAAACATACAAGATAGAGTATAGAGTTATTTCTTAAGATACAACCAGGCCCCTTTCCATAAATTTTAAATAACCTGTTAAATAAGGATAAGTAATTATCTGGATAGTTTGATTCATTATCACAACTTTATCCGGCGTGTTTCTAAAAAACTTCCCTTATATGAACTTCTTGGCCAGTGAAGTGAGGCTTGTTAAATCGCTTTCCTGACCGAATTCATTGTTTGTCAAATTAGAACCCGCCCCAAAATTCTATCTGCCATAATGTATGTTATTAAAGTTGGGTTGACCGTTGCCATTTATGCTAAGGCTAATGACGAACTACATGACATCACTGCTATCAAAATGGGCATCAGATCGTCAGCTGTCCTTCACAGATCGGAACAATATTCAGACAACTATGGACAGAGCTCAGTTGATCAAAAGAAATACAGAATTACCATCCTGTCACAAATTTCAATTTCCTTTTGACCTACAATGCTCTCTTATCTTTCATCTTCTTTCTCATATTCTCAGTTTGTCTTACTTCTCTCATCCCTTCATCCATTAGCATATTCAGTTCCCAATCTTTTACCATCATTTTTATCTTCTTTTAATTGCTCTTATTGTCTTCCTCCTTTGACCGTATTCTTATTGTCTTATCTGCGAGCTTCTTACATCTATTCTAATGATCTTTATATCTAATTTGCATATTTCAGCCTATTATCCTAATGTAAATCTTATTCTATCTCTAGTTTCCTTTCCTTCGTATTTCCCTTCTTATTTCCTCCTCTTTCTCTTATTTCCTCCTCCTTTCCTTACATATTTTCGCTTTAAAATGTTTCCTGGTGACTTTCTCTCCTTACTCTTCTTCCTCTTTTCGGTTTTTCCTTTCTAATTTCACTTATATATCACTAAAGACGTGAATTTTCTTCCATAAACAAGAAAACAAGAAAAACAAGAAAAACAAGTAAACAAGTGAGTCAATCTGTGCATTCGAGTCGGATTTTTTTTCGCATTTTAATTCCTATATACATATATCTATGTGATGATTTAAATTGAATATTTTCTAATATGGTATTATTCTTCGTGACAAATTAAAATAAGGATAACTAATGATAACAAAAAATACACTCGAGTCTGATTTTTTTCTTTGGTTTCCTATTTCCTTATTTCTGCTATTATAGACATTTCTTGGATTGGTTTAGCTATAACAAATAAATATTTATTCTTGGTAACAAACAAATCCTCCTCATGATATTCATAATGGTTTTAAGAATTTGGATAGGAACTTGTTAGAATTCGTTGATGAACTAATTATAAGGCATTTACATCCACCGTAAACTTTAATGAAAATCGATGCATTACTTAGATGTAAATTACAGATAGACAAAAAGAGAAGAATAAGATATAAGTAGAAAAAGGAGGAGGGAAAGAAATAAGAGGAAGGAGAAGAGGAAGATTGATGATAATAATGATAATATTGATGATAAAAATGGTGATGAACAAAAAAGAAGTATAAAAACAAAACTAGGTACTAGAATGAGAAGGAAAAACAAGAGCAAGTACAAGGACAGATAATGAAAAAGAGTAAAGAGACAAAAGATAGAAGAGAGAGAAGAGAGAGAAGAGAGAGAGAGAGAGAGAGAGAGAGAGAGAGAGAGAGAGAGAGAGAGAGAGAGAGAGAGAGAGAGAGAGAGAGAGAGAGAGAGAGAGAGAGAGAGGAGAGAGAGAGAGAGAGAGGAGAGAGAGGAGAGAGAGAGAGAGAGAGAGAGAGAAGAGAGAGAGAGAGAGAGAGAGAGAGAGAGAGAGAGAGGAGAGAGAGAGAGAGAGAGAGAGAGAGAGAGAGAGAGAGAGAGAGAGAGAGAGAGAGAGAGAGAGAGAGAGAGAGAGAGAGAGAGAGAGAGAGAGAGAGAGAGAGAGGAGAGGAGAGAGAGAGAGAGAGAGAGAGAGAAGAGAGAGAGAGAGAGAGAGAGAGAGAGAGAGAGAGAGAGAGAGAGAGAGAGAGAGAGAGAGAGAGAGAGAGAGAGAAGAGGAGAGGAGAGAGAGAGGAGAGAGAGAGAGAGGAGAGAGAGAGAGAGAGAGAGAGAGAGAGAGAGAGAGAGAGAGAGAGAGAGAGAGAGAGAGAGAGAGAGAGAGAGAGAGAGAGAGAGAGAGAGAGAGAGAGAGAGAGAGAGAGAGAGAGAGAGAGAGAGAGAGAGAGAGAGAGAAGGATAGAGGGTAAGAAAGATGAATATTAGCAATCATAGTAAAAGAGGAAATGTAATGTGTATGTTAGAGTACATAAATTGTTAAAGGAGCCGCCTGCGAATTCACGGATTCATCTAACACGAACCACGTGGTCTTTCTACAATGGATCTTTTTCCCGATCTGTCTTTTTGCTTTACTACTTACAAATTTCAATAACAAAAACAGTATTGATATGATATATTTTCCTTTCTTGTAATAATCTACAACAAAATTACTTCATTTATTAAAGAAAAATGTGAAAATAAAAAGGTTAAAAGAATAATTCCTAGAACCGCGGATTTATGGATTCATAGTGTGCGAACGGCATGGTTTTGTTGTCATTGAAAGTTAAATCTCGAAACTCACGTTGTTAACTTTTAGCCATTATGCCTTTCTTTATCAGAGGAAAAAGACCCCATACAAGAGTAGATAAGGTAATATTGATGTCCTCTTTATGTTAATTGTACTTGTTTATATATTAGATATATAATTTTATTTGTATTAGTCTTAAGATGCTTGTATCCTTATCATCTCTTTTACATATATACTGCTAGACTTATTTTAGATAAATGCGATTTGGAATTATCTTTCATCTAAAGAAGTAAAGCGTGTATTTCAGGATTCATTGTAGTTTAGTACAGTAGTTCTCAACCTTGCAGTTTGACAGCAAATTAAAGTAGTATACTGCACATCTGCTACGCACCAGCTCTTTACTCCTTTCTGTTACGAAAATAAATGTATTTTGCATATATACAATTATTGAAGGTGGAATAATGCACTACCACATTGATATTATGAATGGATAACTTACACTCTTCGACCAGGATTCATACCTGGGTCTTTGCAAACTGGTGACTGCAAGATAGACACATACCAAAAGAGCTAAGTTGGTAGGAGCATCTGTCTTGCAGTTACCTACTTGCAAAGACCTGGTTGGAGAGGGTAAGTTATTTATATTAATTTATTGTATTCCCTTAAAATGTACAAGCTACTGTAACTAACTTTAAGAAAATTTAGCTCTACAGTGTGTTAGTATAGTCCAATATAAAGTTTGAAAAAGCCAATTGAAAACATAGGCTTTCTCACTTGCTTCACCATTGTGTATCAGTGTGATTAGCTTATCTATCAAAATTCTCATTATTATTTCTTTGGCATTGTAAGATTATATTCAGTGTATCCCATCCATGTTTAGTGGTTTTGATCTGTGGAAACCACCCATAATTATCCAGTAACTAGATAGATGCAGCATTAGATGATTGAGATGGCCTTCATGCATACCAGCAACATGATGAAAGACTGCAAGTTTTCAAAACATACAATTTAAGGAAATAGAGTTCAAGACCTTCATAATGATTTGGCTGGTGTTACGCATATGGAAGTCATATCTGATTTCTCGAGGGTAGGCATATGGCAGACATCTGCATATACACAATATAAACGCTGTTATTTCACCACACATGTACAGAACACCAATCGGGGTTTTTCTGCCATACTCACAATCACTTCCCAGTAATTAACATTGACCCATTATAAGTGCAAAAGCTGAAGTCTATAGAATTGCCATAGATGTCATTTCTTACAGATGTGTAGCATGTTTTTATGGTGATGTTCTTATTTTATTTTGAAATATAAATTATGATTTAACTGACCCACAGTTTTTCCCTTCATTTCTGCATTGCTTTTTCATTGAGGGTGCTTGTTAATAGTACAATTATTCTAGGGTCAGATTTTAAGAGATACCAAAGTGGAGGTGAGAAAATCCACAAGAAACACACATAAAAAATCATTTTTGGCTGATGAATATAGTTTTGATTAGTATATTCAGAATGACGGGGATATGTTCTATAATACAAATGCAGAAAGTGTCGAAAACACAACCTGACCCCATCAGTCTAGATAAATTGAGACTGGTTCCATCCTGACTGGTCAAAAATTATACCTTAACAAGGATAGGAAGGCACTGGTTGGTTTTCACCTCAAAATTCACAATTTTCTTTCTTCTCCCCCTTGCTCAACTATAAGTTTTGACTAATGAAAATAAGACTGGTATACAAATGGTTTCATTATACTTAGAAAAAGGATGGTCTTGACATTTTTTGCTACTGTCTTTGAGTTTCTGATAATTTCTCAGAAAGGAGAAATATGTTATTTCTACAAAATGAGGTTTTAGAAAATTATAACATATATACATGATCAATAAAAAAACACTGTTCTGAAAATTAAATTAGACTTATCATCATAAGCTGAAAATTATAATATGAGCAAGTGTATGAAGACACCTTGGAATAACATAGAATATTAATTAGAAGAAAAGGAGGGAAATTAATGAGAAATAGAATATTTAATGCACAATTATTGTTCCTTTCAACCCCAACTCCTGCCTTTCTCAGTAGAACTAGAATGATAGGATTGAGTCAGGTCCCAGTACCTTAGGCTTTAATGACATCAAGTAGTTGGTTAACATCAAACAAAGAAAAAGAAAAATCTTTAAATGTTTCTGGTAGTGCACAATTTTGGAGAGTTATAGAATACAGAGATGCCAACTATTTTGATTTGCCTGTAATTTATACAATTTTTAACCCTCTTTACAGCCATACAGCCATAGGAGCCAAAATTATGATTTTTAAGAAAATTTTAAAGTCCTTTTTGAAAATCCAGATTTTGCCACCACTTCTGATTGTCTTAAATGCTCCAGCAAGGCTCATCAATCTCATGTAGTCAACCCAATTACCGGCAGCCTTGCCCGCTACAGTATTGTGTATATACCGCATACATTGAGAATTGGGTTGAGTGAGACTGTATTCCAAATGGTGATCACTTCACTCCAATGAACATGAATGTTCAGTGGAGTGAATGTGCTGATTTTTCTCTTACTCATGCCGTTTTTGAGTGTCAATATGACTGAACCACCTAGTAAAAGATCTAACGCAGGTGAACCTAAAGTAGGTGAATTTTCTTAGAAAAGTAATCCACATCTGATATTTATTGTTTCAATTTGTTGGAAAGATAATGTTCTTCAAAATAGTGCCTCATACAGTTCATTACAGATGGGTACTGCCAAATTACTGAATCTACAAATTTGCTGAAAAAAATAACTGATGGATTAGATTTCGGGTTGGCATCTTGGTGAATATCAGAATGAAAAGAAGACTGGAATGGAACACTCTTTTTGAGTAAAAAGAAAAGGCCTGTCTTCAATGGTAAAAAGTTATAACCCAAGTAATGGCAGGAAACAACTCAACTTTTCACATGAGTTATGTAAATGAATAAGTAAACACATAAGTGTTTAGCTAAAGAGTAGATTTAAGACCTGCATTAGGCAAGAGCAAAAGGGTTAAGACCAGAAATGGCTTAAAAAAAAAGAAAGAAAAAAATAGTTAACCAGTTCTTTAAAAGTTACGAATAGAAACAAAACCAAAACTAAAGAAAAACATATTCTGTATTTATTCTCTAAGTGCTAGCTAGGAATTACATTCTATGTATAAAAATTGATTTAATTTATTTTTCGTATATCAATTGTTTTCAGAAACCTAAAAGAATCATAAAGAAAAATGGCCAGCCTCCAGTCAAGAGACCAAAGGTACAGAAGGATCTGGATGAAGAAATTACAAGCGAGGAGGATGAATACGTCAAGGGAAAACAAGAAAATTTTGAGGAATATGAAACAGCAGAAGACCTAGAGACTGCTCAGGAGAAGAAAGTGAGATTAGCACGACAGTATATCAAAGAACTCGAA